TCATATTGGCAGCTGTAATATTGCAGCTGAATTGTTGTAGTCCCAGCTGTAGATCAAGCTCACAGTGTTTAGTTCTACAACATATAACTGCAGTTGTATTATTGCAACTGTAGAACTGTAGTTCTAGCTGTAGATTGTGCTCACAGCTTATACTTCTACAACATACAATTCCAGCTGTAGGTTGTGTGCTTACGAATAGTGTGTATTTGTATGCTTGTATTGATTGGCTAAAGGAAGAATACTGACAGCGCGAAGATCACACAGACCTGGGTGTGCAAATCACTGGAGGACGAAAAAGTACCGACACTGTATAGATAGAAAGTTAAATAAACCTGTTCCAGCTGTACATTAGCAGGTATACCACGGTAGAAAGTGCTACATATATATTCATACGTTAGTTAAACTGCGCACAGTATTGTGAAGGAGTTCCACAAACTGAGAGCGATTGCATAAATGCTATTTCTGGTCTCTGAATTTATCACGTTGTAATACAATTGTCACCTGCTTCATGAATCTGACTCCAAGATATTAATGGTTTTGTATGCTACATTTCGAGAGCTATGGTTGTTAGTTGAGTTCTTGGCGGCGAGACCATGTATGAGGAAGTTGCAGGCAATATGCACTACCCCGTATAGGCTAAGATTCATATATAGCACAGATACATTTGAAAGCTGCAGAGCTTGAATCACTACTCTGATTGATACAACCGTTGATACAACCAACTTTCGAATATGGAATACGCGCATAGTATGTCTTGTAAACAATCTCTACCATATCGGTTACCAATATTGAGCATAATTGACAGCTGGCGTAATGAGTACTATAAACTATGCAGGCATACGCCTTGACAGTGGTATGTCATATCAATTGTATTCACACGCTTTCTCGGATGTTGTTGCTTGCCTTTGCCATCATAACTGGTGTTCTTACCCACATCCAGATATGTTTTTGAGCTATCCTATTTGATGAGCATGAGATTGCGCGATCTGTTCGTTTGGGATGTTTCTTGTGGCTGCACGTGGACGCGATGCTCCTACTCATACTTTGAGCTATTCGGAACGGGCGTCAACTGTTCAGACTGAAATCACTGAGTCAAACCATAACTCATACTTATTGGTGTACCCAGAGTCTCAGGTATGGACAAATGACTTCAAGTGTGTAGATTGGCACTAATACAGTACCATTGTACCACATACAGATCCGCACACGTGCTCACTCTACGATTATTGATCGTTCCAGTACGTTCAGTATTTATTTTTTGCTTGTTTTGGGTTAGTATCTCCTGCGTGCTGAAGGACTGCATTCTACCAGAGAAAGTACCGTCCTATTATCTGTTCGTGGGATAAGTAAAACCACCACAGCCCTTATGTTAGACGGAAGTCTTCAGAAATCAAAATAAGTCTCCTCGGGTACAGTGCAGCTCGCTGTCAATCAAGACATGGCTTTATCAATAACATCACAGTACACGTACGTGCGTATTGCCGACATGGGATACGCGTTGTAATCAAAGCTCCCCGTTATAGTGCAGAAAACAATAAACTCAACTGCAGTATAACTAGTGCGGATAGTGGCACACGCCCCGTCATTTGATTTTATTATATAGAGGGCTTGGCATTAACAAGGCCTCGATTCCTTTCTCTGTGGTTGCACAGTTTACACCATACGCTTCTGCTCAAAGAACCGCTTCATGTAGTACACCTGGCCGATGGACATGAATATCACTACCAGGCACTGGAAGATCGCCCAGTATAGCACATTGGCGTGTGTAGCCTCATTAACTGTGCATTTGGTAGGTAGAAAGTAGTATGTGTGTCAGGAATAGTGCAATGCCATACGCAGCCTTGTCAACGCCGAGGTAGTGTACACACAGCGCCAGAGAATTGGGTATCCGTTGCCAGTTTAAGGGTCATTGGTCGTGGTACGAATGACTGAGCAAGCAACTCGTTGTTCCGTGCTTGGTAGACTTACACGGGTAGTCTCGATGGATGCGGGACTTATAGTGCGCAGATGGCATTCACAACGGAAGTATTCTAAGGGCCTGGGGTATGAGCGACTGAAATGGTCGTTGCAAGGACAACAACTGGAAATCCCAGTCTCCATAAGTCTTCACACAGTGACAACACTCACTCAAAATCGGGTTAGTTTTCAGATCTTCCACGCACTTTGGTCCTACCAATTAATAGGGCACAGACATAAGTGATACAATAAATTTACCAGTTTCACGACCGGGCAGAGTTACATGGATCAAGTTTGCGTACCTCTTAACCCATATTCATATGCGTTGATATATATATATATATATATATATATATATATATAATAATATATATATAATAACATAACATACACATATATATACATATATATATATATATGACAACCACTCAGACGCAGACACAAACACAGACACAAACACAGACACAGATGCACACATAAACTCGTATATAAACGGATCAAAGGCCGACCGGCCTATTAGCGTGAATACACATGCATTGTGCGGTCGGAAGTTGCATACTTTGCGAGTGCTGGAGCTCACGGGAAGACATGTATTGGTTTTCGTCCTTGACAGTCAACATCTTAGTGAAAAGATCTTGGATCTGCTCTCCCATCTGCTTGGTTTCTGTATGCGTTGAAAACGGATTGATCGTTGAATCAGCAATGCGACGTATAAGGTTTCTAAACAATCAACTCATTGAGCAGTGGGCGGGCTAGGTGCGTTTGAAACAAGAACATAGGAAGTGAGATATGTGTCTAAAACGGGTAATCTATTGATCAGGGGATGGGATATGCGTTGGCGCCGTTAAGGGGGAAACACGAACTAAGAGAGGCAACAGATGCCAATTATATATATGGATATACATGAGCATGCCTACAGTATGGACACATGCGCCCGTAGCTGAAGCTTTAGTAACACTACCGAACATATGTACATATACATATACAATTGCATTTACATTGACATTAACATTCATATTCATATAGCCATATATATATAAAATACATATACATATACAATTGCATTTACATTGGCAGTAACATTGGCATTAACATTCATATTCATATAGCCATATATATATAAATACATAATACATATACATATACATAAACATATATAATATGATACATGATAATACAATAACGATAATAGTAATAATAATAATAATAATAATAATATATAAATAAAAAAATATAGAAATGCTACGCCTGTTTGCAAAACTTGCACACAGACAGAGACACAGACATACACGGACACAAACACATATATACATATACCTATATACGTGTATATGATATACGTATATGTGTAAGTTTTCGGCGTATACTTTGAATCGTACGTACATCCATATACGATCTAGTATGATCAACGAACAATGATTCCGTTGGTAACGTATACACCTATGCAAGGATTTGCATTCGTACAGACTCGTGCACGAACAGAAAGACACTACAATAGTGAGGTATATTGTACGCACACAATAACTCACAGCACTCCAGAGAACTACAAACGCCACAAAAATTTACATTCATCATTCCTTATAAAAACGCGCACTCCATACATCGAGTACACGCGCTTGCGCGACCACATAGGATAAATCCATACCTTCATCCTGCTCTTCTTTAGTACCAGTGTCGATCTGCTGTGTTTTACCGCCGGAGATGGAAAACATAATGTCTTTGCTGGTCATGGATGACATTTTATTTCCAAAGCAAATGGATATACGCCCCTGCGAATACGAATACACAAAATCGTGGATACGGATATAAGCGGTGGCCCACAATCTACTACTTGCTGTACAGATTCTGCAACAACAAGGCAAATAGGCTGAGGTACGTAAATTACAGTCATATCGATAAAGACAGTCAATATATATATATATATATTTATATATATATATATACTTATAGCTAAATATACATGTAAGCGTAAAATTTACAGACATAAATGAACATACACATATATAATTCAAACGTACATATTCAACATACATATACAGGGTTCAACATCACACGGCCAGAAATTTTCGTATAACATCGGCCCAATAGGCAAGTCGAAGGCAGCAAGGGTGCATTCCCCGTTAGTGACATCTCGGGGTCACGGTGCAGAAGTATGCGCGAAGAGACAACACGCTTATTGAACCTTAAACCCACGAAAATAGACACAGATATCTCTACAAACACCTGCAATACCAACCACAGATTCGCGCAAGTACATACTACTTGCACACACGCAAATCGCGTACGCTAAGAAAAGACTTACGTCGCTGGGCGCGGAGATGACGGCACTACTCTCCGAACTCCTAAGCTCCTCGGCTAGAATCTCACCGTCTTTCTCTTTGATCTATTGCCCGAAGTCGAGAAGAGAGTGGACTGTTGTTAAATGCCTTTGCTTTCATTGGGAGAAACACGTTGGTGGCTATGGCGGGTCAAGCTAAGTAGTGGCTAGCATGGGTGATATAACTCCACAACGTAACACAAGGTAGAACAGCGGCAAGGCTTAGAGACGGAAGGCATACGCACATGTGCATGCAAACAATCGCACGAGCAGAAGAAAGCAAGCTCAATCAATCCAAGCTCGTCCACTTTCTATTAGCGCAGGCGCCGGGTAGGATTTACGGTTTAAATACTTAATGCTCGTAAGACAAACAACTAGAGCGACATCGGATGAAATGTGTGTCGAGGGCTCTCCCGATCGGTATGACTCAGAACGTCCGAGTTTCTACCACTATACAAGTGCACCTTTGATCTCTTCAGCAATCCCAGGAGGCCAGACGCATATCAATGTGAAGGGAGTGTGAAATTTAACACACTCGCACTTTTAATACACAGTGCGAGTGTCCCAAAAATGGTAATACAAAACATTGCGCTTTTCAATGGAATACATACCGTCATGTCGATGTCTAGGAAGCCGCCATCGGTCACCTGGTATGCGTATGGAGCGGACATTGACATGAGAAACAATTCCACACTACTAGTACTCAACGAGTGTTGGAAACAACACAGATTTGAGTGAAGGTGCAACGTTTGTAATATTCAGTATTGGCGTGGGAGTTAATATACTCAACCTGATGAATCTAAACTATGAAAATATTGTGTAGACCAAAAAGTATGTATATAGGTATTGTCATATATTACATGCATGGTCGTATATCAATGAATGTATATATATTGATTGCATGTATATATATACTTATATATATAAACGTATATATATATATATATATACATACACATACACATACATATACATATACACACACACACACACACACACACATATATATATATATGTAATATTTATACATATAGA